TGTCCTGAACAAAGACTTTTTCTTTGGATCCAGATTTGGGAGTCAAAATTCGTCCCTGCACTGTACTTCAAATTTATTCCTGTAGAGTCAGGTCTATGGATCCATCAAACATTGTCATTGGTGAAGCCATGAACAGGAAACGGTCATCATTTAAGATTGCTCGAGACACCATGAAAATTGACTTTCTTCGTAATGGAACAAAGATGTAAATTTTCTTCGATTCGAGTCGCTCCACTCAGATTATTAAATTTTGTCGACATTAAATTGTGGCGGAGGAATTACCCCCGACGGTCCATGTAGGGCATAGTAGAGGCGTATTCTTTAATTTCATCCGAAGTAAGTGTAAAAGTGGATTTGGACAACTTATGTCAACGTTCTTCACACACTTGGGAGAACCTTGATGACCTAGAGACGTATTAACGTATTACCAAGACTAGAGTAAGATTCAGGTGTTATCTCGTTGTGTCAGACGAATTGATTGTGGTGTGTTTGTTTAATACTACAAAAATAAAAATAGCTTGTGTGTACATTTGTAGTGTCACGTCCCTCTTTTTCAACACTGGGACTAAATTATTCGCACCAACTGGAAGAAACCGTCGTTTATTGAGTTGTTTGCAAAGGATATCACACGATCAGCTGGAGGTTGCCAGTTCCTCTTACAAACCTGGTAAGAGAAATGTTGACAAGTCAAAGTCGTATAAGAACCCTAAGACCACACTTAGCGAGAGAACTCAGTACGGTGTCGTAGAGTTACCAACTCCAGTCCTGAGGACGACGGGGTGAGGGTCTCCGCATAACAGAAGACAACTTCGTAAGACAACAACTGAATGAAGACACGAAACCAGAACAGGACAACCGTAGTGGGTAGAGACAACGCGAAGTAACACCTGGCTACCGGAATTCAAGAGGTTGTGAAGCCAGAAAAAGCTAGTAACTGTGACCTTTTTACCTGTGCTGGACTATGGTGATTTGTTGTATATGAATGCACCTGCCCATTGCCTGAACAAGTTAGATGCCGCCTATCACAGTGCACTGAGATTTGTCACAAATTGTAAAGCACTTACTCATCACTGTACCCTGTATGCCATGGCAGGTTTGCCATCACTTACTGGAAAGAGGCTCAGTCATTGGTACACGTTTATTTATAAAGCTTTGTTGGGTAAACTCCCGTATTATATCTGCTCTCTGATCACACAGAGAGTTGCAAGCAGCTATTGTCTGAGATCGCATGACGTAGTATTGTTAGATGTGCCAAGAGCAAGGATTGTCTTAGGTTTAGGTAAGACAGCTTTTATGTGCGCAGCTCCACTTGCTTGGAACAGTCTTCAGCAAGAATTGAAACTGAGCAATCTCATTCCTCTGCATGTTTTTAAAGCTAGGCTAAATGAAATGCTTGTTGATACTATGGGCACTTGTAAATGTCTATAACTATGTAAATTGTTTTATGTTTCATGTGGAACCTATATGCTGCAGGTCTCCCTTGAAAAAGAGATCTATGATCTCAATGGGACCAATCTGGTTAAATAAAGGTTTGAAATGAAATGAAATGAAATCTTTTTGGAAGTCATATATTTGTCTTTAACAGGCCAGTATGTATACACCAGCGTCCATATTTGACAATCATCTTAAATAAAGACGAGTCCGACTGCTGATAATTTCCTGCTAAGGACCATCATCACATGTTATATCTCTTTCCGTTTCCCTTACCGCAAATTAATGTCAAATACATAAAAGTAATATTGAATTATGCAGTATAAACATAACACTATGTGTAGGTAAATTACCTTCATGTCGATGAGAAGAGAATTGCTTACGTTTTTTACCTTTGAGTCGGTGACTGAGGATGTGCTCCAGGATGGAAACAAAGTTAACGAACTCTGGAGATGTGTCGTCTATCGTATCAAAACAGGAGCGGTCCAGCAGAGTCTTCACTGAAAACCTGAAAAGAAAAATCAGAGGCACATTGAAATGAGTTATTGGGCCTGTAGCCTAAAGGTCAACTTGATAGAGATTTACAATGAGGTAGGGTCTAAAGAAAATACTCTGCTGGTAGAATTTGGGGAATTGTAGGATCCAGTGTATTTGTTAAACATACTGAACATTCTGAATACTTTGGCCCCTGTTGCTTCAGTTAATACCCTTTTTTATTTTTAGAAATCCGTCTATTGTTAGTCCTTAAACCTTATGGAAGTGTAAGCATCCCATTAAATATGTAATGGATCTATCCCCACTTTCATTTTTCTACACTGACATGTAAGTGCCGCAATGACAAAATGCTTTCTGTGTTGCCGTCCGATCGCAGACTGAATGATGTGAAAAAATATGATACACTCACACTGATAATGCACATATGAACACTTAATAACCAACAAACAAAAATAAGAAGTATCTAAAGCAAATGTAAAAGACAATGTGAAGTTACTTTTTAATATTTCAAGAAACATATACAAAACACATCTGGCCTTATATAGCTGTAATGAGGGTTGCATTAATATCCTGTGATGATATCAGCATTATGTTCTGCCCGCTGTGACATGTGCACCGACAGTCTGTATAATTTGGTTTCAATCTCATTCAACTGATGAGACAGGAAGGAGAGTTAATCGACAAGGCTGCAGTTTGTGTGTGTGTGTGTGTGTGTGTGTGTGTGTGTGTGTGTGTGTGTGTGTGTGTGTGTGTGTGTGTGTGTGTGTGTGTGTGTGTGTGTGTGTGTGTGTGTGTGTGTGTGTGTGTGTGTGTGTGTGTGTGTGTGTGTGTGTGTGTGTGTGTGTGTGTGTGTGTGTGTGTGTGTGTGTGTGTCAAATGAAAGTAGCCCTTAACGTCAGCTAAATAATCTGACTTCATCTCTCCCTATCTCGTTGCTAAGCAGCAGGGTGACCACAGAGGCTTCCTTTGAAGAAGAAGATTTCATCTTATTTCCATGATTTAGGGCAGGTTTTATTTAAATACCATGTATTTTTCAGTCAGTTTTGAAAAACAACCTTTATCTTTAAAGGAATTTACACAAACCTAATTTCCTGTGTTAAGTAAATTGCATTTACTCTCTCAGCTAATACTTTTATTTAACATTCAAACAGAAAACATTTTGGCACATTGACCACCTGAAAACCTGAAATATGAAATAGACTATAACAGGAAAAACCAATGTGTTGTACATGTTTGCTGTTGCAATTCAAATTAATAGGCAAACTTGATGATGTACTCCACTATATACTCCACATTACACATATTGGTCTTAGAAATTGTATATCTATGAAGACGGTTGCAACAGTCCGGTCAAATGTATTTATAGATCACATTTCCCTGGACAGGCTCCAGTATGTCTGCTAGGGTACTCACAAATACAAAGCCGTGGCAGCACATAACTCCCACCCTGATGAGGGTGGGA